CCCAATGTTATAGAGTTGTAGCATATTTATATACACAATTTGTCCTATACTCTAATTATGCAGGTTTCAGAAACGTTTAATATATTTAGCTTTTTCAATGACCTGAGATAGTTGCTGCCAATACTTCTACCACACAGAGTTAAACAGAGATGAAGAATAACAAAAAGTCCACCATTAAATTTCATTGTACCAAATCCCTTACAGATTTAACATTGCTGTGGGATGTCTGTGCATACTCAGTGGCAAGCTTCCTCTTCTATTTAAGTGGTACCTTCCTGGGAACCTGTAAAGATAGCCAACTGGTTTTTAACCTTTCTCCAAGATGTAAGGTTAAACAGGGAAAATCTATTTTACTGTATTAATGTCACTGCCAGCAAATGGGGATACCGCTGTTAGTCAGTCACCACCACCTCAATTAGTATCTGCAAGATGAATTTCAGAGTTCTATTAAACCTTTCCACTGTTCATTTGTTTCTCGTTTATAAGAGGCAGGTGATAACTGCTTTACTCCAGATAATTGCCATAACCCTTTAAATAAGTAACACAATCACTTCATGTCTTTAGGCATCACTTCTCTCAGGAAGACCTTGGGACTGAAAGCAGCAAACATGACTTGAGCAACTAGTTAAATTCTGAGCTAGATAAACAATTGCTTCTAAGTACCAGATAATGAAGCCGAACACTGCAAACATTTTTTTCTTTGACTTATGTCTCGTGGAAATTGATCCACGCTGTCCATTACATCTATGGAGATTGGGTTTTGATTACAGGGAGGGGATGACCACAATTAGCTTTGCAAGAATGACCCGCTCTTTGCAGGTTAGCATATACATCACAGTATCAGTAGTAGTCCCTTGCTTTATCCTCCCTCCAGGAATATAGTTTTTACAGAGGTTTTCATGGGATGTCTTCAAGCCCAAAGATCTCTCAAAAAGACAGTCATGCATTAACTGCTTGAGGCCATTTATTGTCTAGTAGTCTCCTTGAAACCCATTGAGTGTTTCAGTTTCTTTCCTGACCCATCTCTGCAGAAATCTCTTTCCTTTGAGGAATTTTTCTAGGAAACACAAGATAGCCCTGTGGGACAAGGTTTTCAAGCTGACTAGTGATAGTTGCTTGCCTTGTTTTGAGACAAACAGATAAACCGAGTG